CTGCAAATCCACTAAAACTTGCAATTTGTACCGTTAATGGTAGGTAACTCTATATTTTAGTTTAAGAAAGTGAAGATATTAGATTTATCGTGTAATTTTATAGAAAAAATTCAGAATCTGAATGATAACCTGGTAAGAATATTGTCTGTAGCTCTTTTTAATCTCTACATTTATAACTTTCAATCCAATGAGAAACATTCTGATGTGTTCATCAAGCCATGTCATTCTTCTCTTCTCTAAGGACTAAATGTGCTGTCAATATCTTATTCCAGTTTGAGCAATTATGGAGTATATGATAACCAAGAGATGGTATTTGTTTATTATTTTGTTATGTAACATTTTATTTTAATATATTATATATTTGTAGGATATACGAGAATTAAAACTATATGATAATAGAATTAAAGTTATAGAGAATTTAGATCAGTAAGAAAAATCTCATTTTGATTATTCAAAAATGTTTCTTTAGTCTTGATTATATTGGATGTGGCTGTATTTATCAACAATGCATGTTTTGCTTGGTTCCATTTAGACTGTAATCTACAATTTTATCTTTGCACCATTAGAAGTTATTTAGTAAAGTAATTGTTAATGTTGTTGTAAATGTATTTCTGGGGGCCCACAAAATTGTCTTTTTATTTTCATGTTTGTTAGACATCGTAAATTACTGTGTTATTTGATGACCATAATCTTTATAAATTTCAGTTTAAAAGAGTTGAGTTGTTTGCAGTTACAACATAATAGAATACGAGCCATTGGTAAGCTAACATTCTTTTCTCATTCACTCGACATTACTGTTCTCTTATAGTTTCAGATTTTGATACAATCATGCTTATCTCCATTGATGAAGGTTATTGCATTAACATGATTTGTCTTGACTTTGCATCAATTTCTCGCTGTAAATGTGAATTATAACCTCATTCCGTGTGTTTTTTCTGCAGACTGATTACATTCACTTTGTTTTCATTGTAATTTTTGAATGTAAACTATTGTAATATTACAGGTAAAGGTTTGAGTCAGTTGAAGAAAATAAAAACGTTAAGATTAGACAGTAATTTATTGTTAAAGTTAGAAACGTCAGATTTTATATCCTGTGTTCAGCTTACCTCCCTTGATCTGAGTTTTAATATGCTAGATAACCTTAGTGTAAGTAACAGTTGATTTGGGGGAAAAGAGTTTAGGTTTGTTAATCAACTCAGCATCCCTTTCAGAGAGTCCACATAGCTAATAATGTTTATTTGGTATTTATATTTGTCAACTTGGCATCCCTTTCAGAGAGTACACATAGCTTATAATATTTATTTGGTGTTTAGTTTTGTCAACATGGCATCCCTTTCAGAGAGTCCACATAGCTTATAATGTTTATTTGGTATTTATATTTGTCAACTTGGCATCCCTTTCAGAGAGTCCACATAGCTTATAATGTTTATTTGGTGTTTAGGTTTGTCAACATGGCATCCCTTTTTTCAGAGAGTCCACATAGCTAATATTTATTATTGATATTTGAGTTTGGTTTTTTATTTTAAAGATATACATCATGAATATGATTGGGGAACAGGCTTTGCCTATATTACACCTCTCCATATTTGAGTTTGTCATCCTGCATCCCAAGCACACCATCCACATTGCCATTATTGTTGATCGAGTGGCTTAATTATATTTCTTTGTTGTATATACAGGCATTAAGTTATTTACCTAATTTAGAAGAACTGAGTGCTAGTGGAAACAGATTACGGAAAGTCAATGAACTTTCTCGTTGTAAAGGATTGGTGGAATTAGATCTATCGAACAATAGATTAACAGATTTATCTGGCTTTACTAATCTTACACATCTACAGGTCTGTGCTCGTTTATATTTTAGATAGATATCCATTGATAAACTGTAAAGCTGAATAGAGCTGGGATGATACAAGGCTGTGAACTATCACGATACATTCTTGTATCTTTGTGACGAGTCAGATTGGCAATACAAATTCTGTGGATTACACTTTTGAATGTTTACCTCAACCCTTCAACTTAAAAAAAAATATACCATATCTCATGGCTCTTGCCATGGATTGAAAAATTTTGACATTATTGGCTAAAAGGAACTCTATTAAAACATGACTGGCAAATATAGTCAAATCAGTAACCCTTATTCTAATTTCTGTTTCAGATTCTAAGATTGAGCAACAATCAAATAACAACATTAAACATGTCTGGTAAATTAAAGTACGTACCATGCAGAATGATTTTAAACTCTATTAAGTGGAAGCGTGCCTGAAGACTAGTAACCTTCAACCAGAGGTGGAAGTGGAAGATTTTGTGCATAAGGTTCACGGAAACTGGCTGGATGTTCTGGACACATCTAGATATACGTAGGTCATGTAGGTCAAAGGTCATGAAGTATAAAACAATCTGTATTTATGTTTAATTATTTTCAGATCATTAGAAGAGTTGGATGTGTCAGCTAATAAAATTAAAGAGTTATCTCCCCTCCTAACAGCCGTCCCGAACTTACAGATTTTAAATATAAGTGATAATAATATATCTATTTGGGATCAAGTGGTAAGTGATGTGTTATTGAGGACACTACCAATATTAAGCTTTAGAAACAACAATGTTTACAATGAAGTTTAGTCATTGCCAGGTATATTCCCTATCAAACATAAAATATCAAATATAAAGACAAAATTAACAGCAAGTGTTTACATTATGATATCTTTACTTTTCACAATACTGTAACACTTTCAGTTTATCAAGATATTCTCACTATTATCATATTTTCAGCTATCTCTATCTAAACTAGGAGATCTAGTAGAGTTATTTATATCAGGCAATCCGTTTAGTGAAGAGAATGGAGAGAAACCTGGCTATTTTACTGAATTACAATCTGTTATACCACAGTTAGAAATCTTAGATGGGGTAAGTTCACTCTTGTTCTACCCTCTGACAAACTAACCTCTTTTGAAAGAGGTTATCTTGCCTCTCAATGTACTTTTTGATGCTCCTGGTTCATGTAAAACCAAAATACATTCTTATATGACATTTGGATCCCTGTAGCCATTACGAAGCTAAAATTGTACACTAAAATCTCTGATGGTTTATGAAATATCAGGATATTATTCAAATGTGTACCTGATACATCCTCTTTTACAACAATGTCTGTTGATCAGAAACATTTGATGAGTTTAGATTTAGGGTAATTGTAATGTTATGTTTGTTTTAGGCTCTTGTAAAAAAATTAATAGGTAAAGCTACAGCACCTTTAATGAGACCAATGTCTGCTTCTACAGGTAATTATACTGAAATATAGCCGAGTTTTACTTCCTATTGCTCTGGTGGACTGTTTATTTTTTTGGATTTGAAATGGAGTATTGCTTTGTACTTTTCTGAACCTTATTGGTATAATGATATTTGAGGAATAGGGGCCTGGTATCTGGTAATTCATTATGTTTTGTTGTAGTTGTAAGTGTAAGACAGATGGATAATCAACTTAAAGCTGTGAATCAAGAATTAGCAGAATTACAAACCAGTATTTCAAAAAGGTAACGCTGGATATGTCAATAGAAACCAGATACCCTCTTTATATTCTTTACTTAATATGTATAGTTGAAATAGTTAAAATATTGTTTAAACCACCAGGAAGTAGTTTGTTTGGTAATGATGCCAAGGAATGGAACCTACCCACATACTTTATATAAAGAC